TACTACTCCGCGAGAAATCTTGCGTCTGCGCAGTCGGACTGTAAACAGTTCCTAAACTAGTTTTTTTCACAATACATTCCGTACAGATCTTCAGGAGAAACTCAGAAATACGCAGGGGCGACAAACAGACTTTCTACACGCAGCATGGCTCGCGTAACAACACTGAATACAATTTCAAGTTGAACCAACTTAAATTCTTTCAGTTCGGCCTCAGATTTCTGACTGTGAATATTTTTTCTAATCAATTCCACTAAATAATATGATAATTTATCGTTTGTAGAATAGGACAGGTTGTCGACCTGATCAGACCTAATTTCAATAGACACTCCATTAAAGGGAGTGTTCGAAGAACGCAGCGTCCATACAAATTCGGAAAGATGCAACATTCAACTCGGATCGAAACAAATCAATTTAATTCCAAACAAATCATTCATATATTACAAACAGTAGTCATCGATTATTTTTCGACGCATTCGTATATAGTTAATATTTCATAATATTTTTGATTTTGTTTTTTTAAATAATTTTCGCTTGCGCTGGATTTTTGAACATTCCTGGAAAATATTAAAATGTCGTCTTCATTATCAAAAATCCGAGAAACAGGAATAAATGTTTTCAAAAGTAACTCTCAGATCATGAAAAATACAAAATATTATGAAATATCAACTATTTACGAATGCGTCGAAAAATAATCGATGACTATTGTTTGTAAAATGATTTGTTTGAAATTAAATTGATTTTTTTACGATCCGAGTTGAATATTGCATCTTTTGGGAACACTCCCTTTAAGTGCAGAATGACATGATTTTACTAATAAACGAGGAAGATAAGTTGTAAAAGTTTTGATTTTATTTAATTTTCTTGATCGTCTCTGCAGCATGATCTTTTACGGAGAAACCACAATCGAAAATTTTAATTCATCAGCCAGCAAAGTAATGATATTTATCCTTGATCAAAGGTTTAAAGGGAACCATTTTAAAATAGGTTTCTTCTTTATTGCACCGCTTGGTAGCATTCGATCCACCCCAAAATTAAGTATATAAGTTGAAAACTGTAAAAAAAAAACTTATATTTTTTCTTTGTGGTGTAACCCAACAAAGAGTTTTGAAGTCCAGAATTCAAGAACTCTAAAGTGGAAACTAAAAAGTTGGATCTCCGACTAAGTTTGGGAATCCTATACTTAGTTGAATATCGTTCGATTGATACTTGATAGCTAAACCTTAGACGAAGAATTTATTCCTAAGGTGAATTGTCGCCATTTTGAATTTACGATTACGGCATCTTTTAAGATGTTTCCTGGATATCTAGAACAGCTGCTAAATCCCTAGGTTTAGCCGGATCTAACACAAAATTAGTCTTTGGAATGTTATTTTATCTTTTTCAATGAACAATAGGCAGTAATTAACTAAAGAACTGAGTTCTTTCAAGACACTCTAATTTTTTATTTCTTTATGTTTGAAATCCGATGTTTCTTTTTTCAAACTATTTATTATTTACGATTAAATAGTCTAAGTTTGAAATTATTAGACCATAAATTTTCAAAAATAGAGGGATTTGAACATAACCCAGTACTTTTCTAATCCAATATATGGCGCTACAACATTATTGTTAGTATCGTTTTTGCTTAATACACCACGAAACTGAAAACTTCATTTGTTTCACGACATGTTTCTCATTTTTAAGATTTAGGCTAACCTTTGAGGCTAGGAAAGTCTTTTACATAGAATAGAAATGAAATAATGAACCATTGCTAAATGGCATAAAAAAAGATTCTATAGCAAGAAAGTCATCGGAAAAAATATTTCAGGAAATAAAAACTTTTGTAAAAAAGGAATTTTCTGAAGTTCTATAAGGCCAAAATGTCACTCGAAATAAAGTCCTGAGTTTTAGATTCCTGGGACTTTTTTCCCAAAATAGTATGGAGGCTTCCAATAAAGTCACAGGAAATAGGATCACAGGATTTAAAGTCCTGAAGAAATTATATCCGAAGAAAAAAAAACACAAGAAAAAATGTCCTTAAATAAGGTCTAGTCTGAGACGTTTTCATAATAAGGACTTTTTTAATAGATCTGCATATTGAATATAGCCAGGGGTGTTTAAATATCAAGTCCCTGTTTTCCATGGTTTGTAAACATCATTTGTTACCATGCATTTTCTACTATAATGGGACTTTTTACCGGGTACGTTTTTATATAAAATCGTACTGGAATCAGAAAAATGGTCCGAGAAAATAAAGTCCTAAAATGGTTGGACTTTATTTCCAGAGACGTTTTATTTCAAGGACCTTAGGTGATATGAGATTTAGGACTTCATTTCCGAAAAATTTTTTCAGAAAACTTTTTGGTGGTTACCTGAATGACGTAAAAAAGACGTTATCAAATTATACACATTGAATCATGTATATGTTTTGTAGATTGTATTGTTATCTCATGACCAAATTATACACATTTTTCTCTACTTCTCAAATCACAATTCACTATCGATTTCTCCCTCCCTCTTAACTTTAACTACAAAACCTCTAGCTCAAGGTGATCCAAAGTTAGGAAGCCCTTAAGCAAAAAACTATAAGAATTTCCCAATCACTCTTGTAATTAATATTAAAATGAATTGGTTTATAGTTCAAAAATGTATACATGTCCTGGGATACAAAAAAGAAGCTTCTCTTGTATATTTAGAACAGTATAGTGTACAATGTTCTGTGTGCAGCTGTACAAGCTAGTTTAGATTGTGAGTGTGCCAGTTATTAAAACATATGTATAGATATGTGGGCGTTTTTCATAATTTGATAAAATAGAACATTTTATCTTGCCCTACAAAGTCAGTGAGTTTATTTTACAAAGAAACTAGAGAAGTTTTCTCAAAGTTTTCAAGTTTTCCCTTGTTTCTCCAGAATCTTTAGGTTTCTTTAGCTTCTTAACTGTTAGTAAACTAGTTTACAAGCTTTATCTATCATACAGACAGAGCTGAGAACTCTAGTATTGTGGATCTTAATCTTTTGTTAATCTGCAGATTAATTTAATCTTTATTCAATATCTCACATGGTAATCATATACAGTCAGAGGTTGAAGGGAGCTTTGATCATGGTAGAAATTACTAAAATAAAGATATGGAAATGTATAAATTTAAAGCATGCCAACTGTGGATATTGAGATCAGAAAAACGGAATTATGAGTATTAAACAAAAATTTTCCCAGCTCTGAGTGCACTATAAATCTGTTGTAAGACAATAAGTAAACTAAATTACTTTTGAATAACTTTAAAGATCTGATTAATAGAAACCACAAGCTCTACTCTCACGAAAACCCCAGTCTACTGTTTTTTTCTTGGATTAAATGGACTGTAGACGTAATTACAAGTAATTCTCTATTTGTCGAGTGGTACGCCCGATTCATGAAGGTACTCTTTAAACCGTTGTTTGCTCGGGCTCATCGACTAAGAAGAAATAAGACATACTAACGCTAATTATATTGTACTGGGGAACTAATATTAAGAATATTTCTTATATCAATCGGTGTTTAAAACTCGAATTAACGTGTTTATTTTTCATGACTCTCGATAAATGAATTATAATATTTTAAAAAATATGAAACAGCTTGCACACATGGTTCTTAGGCTTCATCAATATTAGAATTAAACCAGCCACCCACCGGGGGTTTGTGAATTTAAATTACCTGAAAAAAATACTGCAAGTCACCAATTTTCTAATTCGTACATTCTGAGAAATTATAGCAGTTTTGAAAATGACTTGTTTTTCCTCTTTTTTTGGAAAGATGCTGCATTTCCAAATCGAGCTCCATTTTTAAAAATATTAAAAATAAATGAGAACAAAAACTCACCAAAACAATCAGTCATCCTTTTGTAGAAAATAGTATGAACCGTTGTAAATCGGACATTCCACTCTACAAATAGAGGGACACTTAAAGTACATTTAATCTCTTCAAATAGAGGGACACTTAAAGTACCTTTAATCTCTTCAAATAGAGGGATACTTAAAGTACATTTAATCTCTACAAACAGAGGGACACTTAAAGTACATTTAATCTCTACAAATAGAAGGACACTTAAAAGTACATTTAATCTCTTCAAATAGAGGGACACTTAAAGTACATTTAATCTCTTCAAATAGAGGGACACTTAAAGTACATTTAATCTCTACAAATAGAGGGACACTTAAAGTACATTTAATCTCTTCAAATAGAGGGACACTTAAAGTACATTTAATCTCTTCAAATAGAGGGACACTTAAAGTACATTTAATCTCTTCAAATAGAGGGACACTTAAAGTACATTTAATCTCTTCAAATAGAGGGACACTTAACGTACATTTAATCTCTACAAATAGAGGGACACTTAAAGTACATTTAATCTCTTCAAATAGAGGGACACTTAAAGTACATTTAATCTCTACAAACAGAGGGACACTTAAAGTACATTTAATCTCTTCAAATAGAGGGACACTTAAAGTACATTTAATCTCTACAAATAGAGGGACACTTAAAGTACATTTAATCTCTTCAAATGGAGGGACACTTAAAGTACATTTAATCTCTTCAAATAGAGGGACACTTAGAGTACATTTAATCTCTACAAATAGAGGGACACTTTACGTACTTTTAATCTCTACAAATAAAGAATTTTCCTTGTGAGCCAATCAAAAAGAAAAGCAACCCACACATTTTATTTTTAAACCACTGTATATTTTTAAAACACCGTATATTTGAAAACTTCATTTTTTTATTTTTCTTATTTTAGAACGGCTGAAACTGGCGATAAAGTGTAAACAGAAATCTTTCGTAGCTCATCATACTGTACAACAACTTCTAGGCATACATATAGCATTAATAGTTGTACATACTGTACAACAACTTCTAGGCATACATATAGCATTATTAGTTTTACATACTGTACAACAACTTCTAGCCATACATATAGCATTAGTAGTTTTACATACTGTACAACAACTTCTAGGCATACTCATAGCATTAATAGTTTTCATACTGTACAATAACTTCTAGACATACATATAGCATTGATAGTTGCACATACTGTACAACAACTTCTAGGCATACCTATAGCATTGATAGTTGTACATACTGTACAACTTCTAGGCATACATATAGCATTGATAGTTGTACATACTGTACAACAACTTATATGCATACATATAGCATTAATAGTTGTACATACTGTACAACAACTTCTAGGCATACATATAGCATTAATTTGTGTACATACACCAAAACAACTTATATGCATACCAGCATACAAATAATAATAATAGTTGTACATACTGTACAACAGCTTCTCGGCATACATATAGCATTAATATTTGTACCGTACTGTACCTGATAATTGTTTGGGCCACACACATCGCATTACAGTAGTTAGTTTATTCGTCGTAATTACTATATCTGGATTACTTACAATTTACAATCCTAGATAAATTACTGTTACATTATTATTATTTAGTTTATATTATTACTAGCTAAAATATAATAAAGTTAGTAATAATCTAAATTATCTATATTGTATGTTAGTTATTAACAATCTAAACTAGCTATATTGTATGTTAGCTAGTAATAATCTAAACTAGCTATATTGTATGTTAGCAAGTAATAATCTAAACTAGCTGTATTATATGATAGCTAGTAATAATCTAAATTATCTATATTGTATGTTAGTTAGTAACAATCTAAACTAGCTATATTGTATGTTAGCTAGTAATAATCTAAACTAGCTTTATTGTATGTTAGCTAGTAATAATCTAAACTAGCTATTTTGTATGTTAGCTAGTAATAATCTAAACTAGCTGTATTGTATGTTAGCTAGTAATAATCTAAACTAGCTATATTGTATGTTAGCTAATAATAATCTAAACTAGCTATATTGTATGATAGCTAGTAATAATCTAAACTAGCTACATTGTATGTAAACTAGTAATAATCTAAACTAGCTATATTGTATGTAAGCTAGTAATAATCTAAACTAGCTATATTGTATGTAGCCAGTAATATTCAAAACTATCTATATTGTATGTTAGCTAGAAATAATCTAAACTAGCTATATTGTATGTAGCTAGTAATAATCAAAACTAGCTATATTGTATATAGCTAGTAATAATCTAAACTAGCTATATTGTATGATAGCTAGTAATAATCTAAACTAGCTATATTGTATGATAGCTAGTAAAATCTAAACTAGCTATATTGTATGTTAGATATTAATAATCTAAACTAGCTATATTGTATGTAGCTAGTAATAATCTAAACTAGCTATATTGTATGTTAGCTAGTAATAATCTAAACTAGCTATATTGTATGTTAGCTAATAATAAACTAAACCAGCTATATTGTATGTTAGATAGTAATAATCTAAACTAGCTATATTGTATGTTAGATAGTAACAATCTAAACTAGCTATATTGTATGTTAGATAGTAACAATCTAAACTAGCTATATTGTATGATAGCTAGTAATAATCTAAACTAGTTATATTGTATGTAAGCTAGTAATAATCTAAACTAGCTATATTGTATGTTAGCTAGTATATGGTACGAAGGAGTCCCAGGGTTTAGACGTCTCAGCATCTTCAGACAAATCTTTATAATCTTCAAATTAGGAAAATATATTTACTAAAGTGCTTCCTGTCTTCTTACATTTTGTGATGGTAAACTCAGGATACTTTGAGTTCTTTCTCAGTATTATATCTAGACATCAGGATACATTTTACTCACAACTCTCCAGTATTATATCTAGACATCAGGATACATTTTACTCACAACTCTCCAGTATTATATCTAGACATCAGGATACATTTTACTTACAACTCTCCAGTATTATATCTAGACATTAGGATACATTTTACTCACAACTCTCCGGTATTATATCTAGACATCAGGATACATTTTACAGCAATATAGCTAGACATCAGGATACATTTTACTCACAACTCTCCAGTATTATATCTAGACATTAGGATACATTTTACTCACAACTCTCCAGTATTAGATCTAGACATCAGGATACATTTTACTCACAACTCACCAGTTTTATATCTAGACATCAGGATACATTTTACCCACGACTCTCCAGTATTATATCTAGACATCAGGATACATTTTACTCACAACTCTCCAGTATTATATCTAGACATCAGGATACATTTTACTCACAACTCACCAGTATTATATCTAGACCTCAGGATACATTTTACTCACAACTCTCCAGTATTATATCTAGACATCAGGATACATTTTACTCACAACTCTCCAGTATTATATTTAGACATCAGGATACATTTTCCTCACAACTCTCCAGTATTATATCTAGACATCAGGATACATTATACTCACAACTCTCCAGTATTATATCTAGACATCAGGATACATTTTACTCACAACTCACCACACTTTTTATTATATATACAAGAGGTCCAATTCTAAACAAATATGAGAGAATGTGCCTTGATCTTTTAAGATTTTTAAGTGAACCTAATTAAACTGAATAAATAATATAAAAACCTAAAAAACACTTAGTTTTTCAAACCTTCAAAACTGCCACAAACTCAAATTTTACAATCATTAAATTTTTTCAACCTTATGGTTTAAACCTTTGATATTTCAAACTTAAATCAATTGAGCTAACATAATTCATAGTCTGAAATATCTAAGGTCTGTACCATCAGTATTCAAAGAAATAGGGATTGTCCTTCAGTTTTAGTCGATGATGATAGACCAAATACAGTTTATGTCAATTTTCATCTATATTGGGACTCGCTGTACGGTAACTCCTTTTTTGTATCATTCCAAAGCTTTAAAACATGTAAAAACCCGTAATAAAGTTAATTGACGTAAATATATACTGTCTGGGTCAGGATTAATGTATCCAGCCTACTCGCTCATGTACATCCTAGCTCCAGCTACTAGGATGGGAGAGTATATTAGGTAAACTATATCCTCCAACTATACTAGGATGGGAGAATATATTAGGTAAACTATATCCTCCAACTATACTAGGATGGGAGAGTATATTAGGTAAACTATATCCTCAAACTATACTAGGATGGGAGAGTATATTAGTTAAACTATATCCTCCAACTATACTAGGATGGGAGAGTATATTAGGTAAACTATATCCTCCAACTATACTAGGATAGGAGAGTATATTAGGTAAACATTATTCTAACATCGTTAGCTCACACAGGGATTGTCAATATTTGGCTTTTATTGAAGACATTTTTTTCTATCCTGAAGTGTGATTAGTGAATATCTGAATAGTAATTATAACTCTTTAAAGGAATTGAGTCTTTGCCACAAACTCAAATAAAAAAGGCTTAATTCATGTTTAAAAAAATAAAACTTATAATTTCCCTGATGGAGACTGAGATATGAATTCAATTGACTCTCCATGACCATGAGTGACATGACCATGATCCACGCCGGTACCCTTAAAACTTTCTATAATCATGACTTAATATATCTTCCATATCTTAATCAGATAAAGGTTTAAAGGGTACCGTTGTGAATGGAGAGTACCTTGACAATCCCTTTATGCATTACATTACTCTCTACATATGAATTTGAATCGACAATTTCTTCATTGTAATAAAATGAAACGAACCTGAGATTAAACCTTGTTTTGAAACTTTAAAAAAAAAAATTCTTTAAAACACTAAAAAGGACTTCAGAAACCAAAAACCAAGAGACACACAAACTTTTTTTTAATTTCAGGAATCCATTTGTAAAGTTTATTAGTCACTCTGCGAGCTATATTCTATTTCTGGGTCTGCTTGCAATGGCAAGCCAACGGATAGAATACCTTTTAGTGGAAATAATAGGTGAGAATTAACCAGGCCCGTAGCCAGGGGGGGGTGCTGGGGGACAGGTGCAGACCCCTTTCTTCTGAAAGGGGGGTGCAATGAAGAATTTGCACCCCCCCTCCCCATGTCTCATATAAAAGAAATTGTTTCTCATAATTTTTAAAATCTAGTTATCAATTATATAGCCAGAGTAAGAATTGATTCCTTTCCCAAACCAAATATAATCTATTTTAAGTCAAAGTAGAAGAGTTTTTTTTTTGAGTACTAAGAATGTCTCAATGTCAATAAATAAACTTTTTAAAACAAAATATTAGTAATTAGTATTATCTTTTATTCATCTTCATATTAACATGATGAGGCCGAGGGACAAGAAGCATTGATTTTAAATAATGAATTTTTTCCTTAAGCTAAAGTACCATTCATTTATTTTTTTTATGTATATTGTATATGTAAACTGAAAAGTTTCAGACACTAAAATGTAACCCTTAAAGCTCAAATATACTTGTTAATCTTTATAGTGTGCATTGACAATGTAATAAAAACAACCATATACCAATGTAAAAACAAACAAAGCATTGTTAAAAAAAATTTCGCCTATGGCGAGCCTTTTTGCACCCCCCCCCCCTAGGGTTTCCATTCGCCAAACTTTTGCGCAATTTTTGCGGAACGAAACGCAAAATTTTTCTTTCTTTGCGCATCAGTTTTGCGCGAAAAAACAACAATTTGCGCGATCATTCGCAAAAGTCATTTCGCGCAAAACTGCTCTATTCCGCTTTTGCGAAACTCAAGTTTTGCGCAATTCCGCAATTTCGTACCAAAATCCGAAACAGATTGTCCGGTAAAAGTCTCGAAAATTTTAGTTTCGGACATGCATATTTCCTAAAAGTGGATTCTTCAGGCATTGGTTACTTTCCTGCATTATTTTATATGAGATAAAAAAGATTTCAGAAATTTGATTAAAAAAATTTAAGAACATAATTCATACTTGATTAGGCACAGCTTTTAAGGGTCACTTGAAATTATTTAATAGGATTAAAATATTGCCAAGTTTCACACTCTCTAATTTCTATTTTATTAATTTTGGTCCCTTAATTTAAACTTTTTGTTACTGGAAGCAACCAATTGAGTGTAGTATAATCGTTATCATTCTCGTATGTTAATATTTTTTTATGTATGGAATAAATCTTCAGTTGTTTAATTCTAAGCTTAGAATGTCAATTTTTGACAATGTGCCGAAAAAGTTACATTTTGCGTAAAACTTGCGGTTTTGCGCAAATTGCGCAAAAAAATTGCGCAAAACTAAAATTTCGTTTCATGCGCAACTTTCGCAAAAAATATTTCCGGTTTTGCGCAAATTGCGCAAAAAAAAATAGCGCAAAACCGCGCAAAACTCATTGCGTTTCATGCGCGAAAATAGCGCAAATTTTGCGCAAAAGATTTAGCCATTTCGTGGAAACCCTACCCCCCCCCCCCCTAGGAAATATCCTGGCTATGGGCCTGGAATTAACAGACCGTAAATACGGAAAAATAACTGGAAAGGATATGAACCTCTTACAATTAAATATTTATAATGAAAAATCCAACAAATAAGTTTAGAATAGAATATTCAACAAATCTTCAGCGAGTTGTGAAAATAGAGTTTAAAAGTGAAAGCTCACTGACCATTAAATCATGATGTATGGATCACCGTGATAGTTTGTTAAACTTCTGCTCTTTTTAAAAATCCTTAAGAATTAATATGGAATCAAAAGATTTACAAATAGAATTGATCTCTTAAATTCTAATTTTTTCATCCCTTTATATCTTTACAACCTGATGGTGTACACATTTGATAAATATTTCAAACATTGGCTCTTTAATCTAGCAGATTTTAAACGGGCTGAAAAGATTCAAGTATAGAATTTGCTTGATAGGAGTGATCAGTTTTATTTTATTTAATTGGTAATTTAATTCAAGAATTGAATTTTTGCCACAAACTCTGATTTATAAGGTTGCAAAGGTATTGGAATGGAATTGAGTCTATGCCACTCTGTTCTAATCCTTATAATAATACCCAATGTTGTAGACATTTGATGTTTCAAAGTATGAATTTTGGTAGATACAATAATTTAAGTTTGAAATATCAAAGGTTTACAACATTGAGTTGCATATAGGGATTACAAAATTTGAGTTTGTGGCGAAGATTTAATTCTTTCACATTTAAAAATATTCTTTTTTTTATATGTTTATTTTCATATTTTAAATTTTCAAAAATAATCTTTTAAGAGTTGATGCAAATATTTTGACATTTCTATATTCCTTGTTCTTCCTTGTTTGTACATCTTTTAATCATATTTTGGCTAATTTTGAAAAAAAGAAATTATTTTGAGACATCTCCGCAGTTTTCCAAAACTGCCAGTTTAGAACTTTATGTAGGTTAAGGTGCCGTTCTTATTTTGCACTAGATAACTGGATGATTCAGCAACTAAATTTGAGCTGAGCTGATTCATCTACAAAAACACATTTCTAGTGTATTTTTCAACTGGTTGAAATGGAAGGGGGGGGGCGTCTCCCAGCCCCATTTTCAATTTGTTTTTATTCGCCATCAGAATAATTGATAGTGTAAAGCTTATCATTATAGATTTCTCTTCCAATTTTTCCTGTTAAATTTTCTTTTTTCTTCTTGTTTATGTTTATACATTTTGAGGCCTCTCCAAATAGTTATTGTGACATCAAGTTGTCGAGCAGGTAGGAGAGAGATAATGAGGTTTGGAGGAGGAAGGGTATGAGGGATTTCAGTATAAGCTCCCTACTTTCCTTTGTGTTAAAGTCTTTCCGACTAAGCAGAATTTAAAGGAAACCCAAAACGGCACTGCTTATGCAAAAGCCTTAAAGCCCCATAAGGTAGAATCTTCCACAGTGGTCCAGTCCTCACAACTGGTCCAGTAAAAAACTGGTATCGTGCATGTCTTGTATACCTATCAGGGGTTATACTTTTGTGTTCCTTCTTTCAGCTGAGATGTTGATATTAACAAAGCTAAAGATGGAGTTCTTGTTTACCATTTAAATTCTATGTTTCCCTACTCTCCTGTAGCACCCTGTAACACCCTGGAGCTGCTATAAGAGAGATCTGTACCCCTCCGAGAGTGGTAAGCAACTGATAGTCCCGTGATACAAACCTTTCTGTATTTTGTTAGGAATTGTAATTCTCCCCCGATTATATTTTTTGTGTCAGGTTGACATAATTGTCATTCTAGTGAGCCTAATAGTTTTCACAAGTCAGGTTTAAACGACCCCCCCCCCCTTGGTCCTCCTGGCCCTGTCTCTCCCCCTCTCAGCCCCCTGGCCCTCCCCCTCCATCTGTTCCGAGTCCAGTGTTGAAATTAAATATTCTGATAAGTTGCTCGGCATTCTACGCTCTACAGTTTAAACAATAAAGTTGAATCTGAATAATGCAAAGTTGAGAAGTGTATCCAGGATTCAGGAATAGAGAAGAGTATCCAGGATTCAGAAATAGAGAAGGGTATTCAGGATTCAGGATCGAATAGAGAAGTATATCCAGGATTCAGGAAAAGAGAAGAGTATCAAGGATTCAGGAATAGAGAAGAGTATCCAGGTTTAGAAATAGGTTTTCATGTATCCATCTGATGACTGGTATCCAAACTTCATGCTATTTCGTGTTTAAATCTGATGCCTGCTAGCTAGATGGTTTAGTCTGATGTCTGGTATCCAAATTTCATACCAAAATTTGATGCCTGCTTGTCAGATTTCTATGTTTGAATGTGATGTTTAAAAGCCAGATTTTCATGTATAAATCTGATGTCTACTAGCCAGATTTTCATGTTTAAATCTGATGTATAGAAGCTAGATTTTCATGTTCAAATCTGATGCCTGCTAGCCTGATTTTCTTGTATAAATCTGATGTCTGGTATCCAAAGTTCATGCCTAAATCTGCTGTCTGCTTGTCCATGCTTGCCAGATTTTTAATTTCCTATTCAAACATGAATAATTATATAAGAACTCCAGTTTCTTTAGCTAAATCTGAATTCTACTGAATATGTTCAGAAACGTGCAAAGTTAATTATTGAGTAAAGATTGTGCAAAACCAAACAATTCTAATTCAAATTGCATTCTCTCTTGTGCAAAAAATATGCAAAAGTGTGAAGGTTTTAGTTTATTATTTGTATTTTTATTTTTTCTTAAAAGATAAAAAAAATTGATGATTCAATTTATTACGTTTTGATTAATAGCTCAGTATCGTAAATTATCTTTTCAATAAAATAAGAATTATGATGGAGGTCTCTGAAATGAGATGTTGGTAAAGAATGAAATATATGAGATAAAAATGAGCTGAGGGGTTCGGAAGGTTTTCATTTAGATTTAGTTTAAATGTATTTATAGATCTTAATTTATAGATCTTAAAGGTTTAGCGCAAAGCAATGGAGTCGTTGTCACAAACACAAATTTTCAACTCCTTTATCTTTTCAACCCAATTAGGGTTTCCAGCGAAAAAGAAAAATCGTTCCGCATTTTTCGCGAAAAAACAAATTTGCCAAAAAATTCGTATTTTTTTGCATTTCGTTCGCTTGCGAAAAATGCAAAATTTTTCGCGAAATAGGAAATGCGAATATTTTGCGTAAAAAGACGGAAATTATGCGAAAAACCACACGAAAATCTCTCATAAATATATGGTCCATTTTAAAGATTCTTTCTTGTAATTGGCTGGCTCATAGCTAGCTGGATTTGGGTGAACGTATGTGGACGGACAGAAACTTATAAAGAAAGCTAGAGAAATCAAATTTTCTTCATCAAACATTTATTGATGTAAAGAAATTATTAATATGATATAATAAAATTTCAAAAGTTGAGCTCTCAGAGCTGAGAATTCTGTAAGTTTTTTTGCGCAATTGATTTTTTTCTCTCGAAAATATTTTAGCGAAATGCGAACGAAAATTTACGCATTTTTTCGCGAAACGTTTCGTTCGCTGTGAACCCTAAACTCTATACATGAATACTATGAATTCTTCTAGATCAATTAATCTAAGTTTAAAATATCAAGGGTTTACGCCACTAGGTTGCAAAAATATAGGAGTTGGAAAATTTGAGTTTGTGGCAATGGCTCAATTCCATTTAGCATGTGTTTGGACGGAATTATAAACTCAGCAAGTGTGGGTACACATTTTCAAAGTTTTTTCATAACATATGAACACATATTAAGTTTCGTTTTTATTATCACGTTATTAGTTAACACTTTTTCATAACATATGAACACATATTAAGTTTCGTTGTTATTATCACGTTATTAGTTAACACTTTTTCATAACATATGAACACATATTAAGTTTCGTTTTTATTATCACGTTATTATTTAACACTTTTTTCGCCTTTTTTATTTTTAGTTAAGTATGTTTAAATTTTCCTGAAAACAGATTTTACAATTGATATTCTATCGACGGGTATTGGATAATGGGGATTAGATGTAAGAGGAAAATCAAGACTTTAAATATGAAAGAATATTGCTGTAGGGTCACTTCAGATTTGTAATCCCTTACAACTCATATCAATTTAATGTTTTAAAGACTTTTCATTACATTAATCTTAGTTGGGTATTATTCAAAAATAAAGCTTTTCAGATTTGTAATCCCTTACAACTCATATCAATTTAATGTTTTAAAGACTTTTCATTACATTAATCTTAGTTGGGTATTATTCAAAAATAAAGCTTTTCATCACATTAATCTTAGTTGGGTATTATTCCAAAATAAAGATTTTCTTAGAACTCTCCCCTTACTAAAACTCTAATATTTTAGTTCCTATATCTTTTCATCACATTAATCTTAGCTGGGTATTATTCCAAAATAAAGATTTTCTTAGAACTCTCCCCTTACTAAAACTCTAATATTCCTATATCTTTGGAACCTGATGGTGTAAATCTTTAATATTTCAAACTTTGACATTCACATCTAGCAGAATTCACAGTGTTAAATATCTGAGAACTCAAGTTGCACATTTGAGATTTTTTTAACTCTTTTGTGCACTTTAAGTGTAGATAGTAGTAAAGATATTTAGAAATGGTTAAACTTGGAAACTTTACACATAAATTTACAATAATAAGACGTAACTTTTATAAATTTCTTCTGAAGCAGGGATTTAAATATTTCGGGGGAAATTAGTGTAAACCACATGGACCACACAGACTGCTTATCTTCTTTCACAGGGTGGGCTACGTAGGCCTAAGTTGACCCGGCACGACATGCTACGTTTTTACGATAGGTTTTTAGAGTGCCATCTCACGGCCATTTGTTGAACTTTAAAGAAATACTCCATTTTTAAACATGAAACATAACATTTATGAATTCAGTCTATTTTCTGAAGATTTTGTGTTTCGTATCCAAAGGGTCCTTAAATATCCCTGAATACAGATGTTTGCTGATTGGTCATGTACAGTACTTGTACACAATAGAACATGCTGTGGAAAATATCGCATATTTTAGCTGATAATCGATCTCTGTAACTCTGTTAATTATCTCTGGTGTCAAGCTGGCTGAACTACATATATTGAGACACGAGTCTTGAGATATGATGTTAATCTTTTTTACAAGGATTGTTATTACTGCAAACTTGACAGAAGGAGAGAGTTAACTTTAACCGAAACTACTGGTGCGATTTTGTAAGCTCGTAGCTCTACTAGTTTTGATTTTACAGACAAGAAATAAGCTAGAAAATTTATCCGGTTTTTTCTTCAATATGATTAAAAACATATAGGATTTCAATCTTACGTGCACATTAATTTAATTTAACTTAAAAGACCAGTGAAACACCTTGACGAAACTGACCAAGTCGGGGGTGTAATTTGATAACTATAGAATGAAGAGAAACAAATATTTTATCGCGACCTCCTCTGGTCTAACCTTGATTTCCCTCAGCATAGATTGTTCTGTTACCAGAGAGAGAGTGAGAGAGAGAGGAGTATATTTGGTTCTCTTTTCATCTCAACCTACAATGGGTTCATTGAACTTTTTTATCACCCATTACGAATTAAAGTTCGGATAGTAGGGGTTTGTCAGGGGTTGGATTATATAATATTTGATACGGATAAAAATGAAATTCCGAAAAATGTTCTATCCTGAGTTTTTCTTTAAGGAATTTGGTTGTATGGAGTTTGTCGTTCCAAAAGGAATTGAGTCTTGTCCCAACCTCTGATTTTCCAATTTTGTAGAGCTTAGATGTTTCGCATAAAAATACGGTTCATTTTAAAGATTCTTTCTTGTAATTGGCTGGCTCATGGCTAGCTGGATTTGGGTGAACGTAGGTGAACGGACAGAAACTGTAAGAAAGCTAGAGAAATCAAATTTTCTTCATCAAACATTTATTAAAGTAAAGGAAAAGAAATTATTAATATGATAAAATAAAACTTCAAAAGTTGAGCTCTCAGAGCAGAGAATTCCGCAAGTTTTTTTTGCGCAATTAATTGTTGCAGCTAGAACAATTATGGTTTTCGCAGAAATTTTTTTCTCGAAAATATTTTAGCAGTTTCCAAAAAAAATTTCGCATTTTTTCGCTTCCTTCATTATCGCGAAAAATAAATGCGAAATTTCGCGAAAAAGTTTGCGAAATGCAAACAAAAATTTATGCATTTTTTCGCGAAACGTTTCGTTCGCCAATACATGTTGTAGACCTAAAATATTTCAAACTATGAATTCTGTTAGTAAATAAATAATCTTAATTAAATAGTAATTAAATAATCTAAGTTTGAAATATCAAAGGATTGCACCATTAGTCTGCAAGATATAGGGATTCGAAAATTTTAGTTTGTGGCAAAGACTCAATTATCGCTTTGAAATTTGTCTGTTATCATTATGTATTGTCTATTCCATAATTCGTGTTTATTAAATTCTTCTCCAGAGATATATTCTATTCCAGGAACACTACTGGAGGACAAGGAGTTGTTAGAACTAGTTGAAGAATGGGAGAAGAAAGAGAGAGGGAGTTTACCTTCCTATGTTGAGATCTGTATTATCGTCTGGCAGGGAGATTCAAATATATTATTCAAAAGCGAGCTTGGGAACCCAGCTGTGCCTGGAAATCCAAACATTCCTTGTGAAAGTCGAAAAACTCAGTTTTATTTTTTTAAACCAAGCTAAGAACATTCCATGGTTCCTGTCAACCTGTCTACCTATCTACCTGTCTAACTACATATCTATCTACCTGTCTACCTTTCTACCTGTCTATCTATCTACCTGTCTACCTATCTACCTGTCTATCTTTCTTCCTATCACCTCTCTACCTGTCAATCTGTCTACCTATATACCTGTATACCTATCTACATGTTTACCTATCTACCTGTCCTCTTATCTACTTATATTCCTATCTAGCTGTCTACCTATCTACCTGGCTACCTATCTACCTGGCTATATATCTATCTGCCTACCTATCTACATGTCTACCTTTCTACCTGGCTACCCATTTATTTATCTACCTATCTATTTGTCTACTTATCTACCTATCTATGTCTACCTATCTACTTCTCTACATATCTACCCATCTACCAATTTACATGTTTACCTGTTTACATGTTTACATGTTTACATGATTGGATAGAAATAATAATAAGCGAATTTTACCGATGACTTAATTAACAGAAAGTATATTGTATACTTATTGTAAAATATTGTACCTACATCATTCAGCTTTCACGTTTAGCTCTATGTTGATTGTTGAACTGTTTTATGTTAAGCATTAAACTTTATATTTAGGTTTAACTAAATTTCAGAAAACTTTACAGTTTGGTGTGCTTTAAACTACCACATCCCTTAGATACCACATGTCTAAATTCTTGAAGATTAACCACTAAAGTATTTGAAAATACACAACAAAAAACAAGCATTAAAATATTACATTTCGAATGATTTCTATCTTTTTTATGGGGCCTTTTCTACTCCTTTAATTGGGACCGTTTGCATTATTCCATATTGTGCGTGAAACAAATATTTTATGAACTGAAAAAGATGAGTAATTTTCTGAATTTTTGCAGTTGATGTTTACAAATTCACATTTTGCACTTTGAATTGAGCAGAGAGAGAACTTGAATTAAGAAAACAAACAGAATCTCTTTTAAGCGAAATATACAGTTGTTTTGCAGAATAGGATTTCTGTCTTTTCAACGTTTTATTTATTAAGAGATAGGAGTGAGCAGGGGTTGGGGGAGGGTTATTAAGAGATAGGAGTTAATTATGAATAAATTCGTACCATCACAATTTCTATTTGATGTTTTTATAAGAAGATGTGAATTAGTACTATTCTCCAATATATGGGCAGCAATAGTAGATTATTAGCGTAGGTAAAAGAACGATTAAATCATATTTTCATTGCAAAACATTAAATAGAAATAAAAATTGGACCTATCAATTTGATCATGGTTCATCCTATAGCCACCTATTCTTTTCTGAAATATAGTTGTGCGTCCTTCATTTCCTTCATTTCCTATTCATTGATAAGAAATTTGTGAATTAGCAGGAGCTCGGATTTTTAGGTATGACTGAATGAAACTGATTTTAAGAAACTCCTGTCGTAAAAGTTGTAAACTCTGTGTCTCCGATCATAACTCATTAACCCCTTGACCGATTTCTCTGATATTTTGATTGGAGAACTCGGTATAACCACAGTAATGTGTTTAACTTGGATTCAACATACAAAGTTAATCTTTTTTCAGGCATAGCTGGGTTTCCAAACTAATATAAAATGTTGCAAAATTAAGTTTGATTATCTCAGGTTTGTTTAATCTGGAAGGACATTAAATCAGTGTATAAGGTAAATTAATGATAAAAAAATACAAAATCTAACAAAATTAAATATCAAAAATACCTTCCTCACTTCCTAACATAGTTTCTGCTTTAAATAAAAACTGAATACAAAGTTCCGTGGTAAGATATGTTTTATTTCTCATGAATTGTTTTTACAGATTTTTTACTCCAGATAAAATATGCAAATTCATAGACATAACTTTACATTACCGCTTGTTGGAACAGTTTAAAGGGACTGTGCAAGTAGTTTCAAGTGACCCAACATTTAAAAGTTTGCAAGCCCAAATTATAACGTTACCCTTTAGATTCATCAACAATGAGGAAAAGTCTTGAATTTAATCGATTTTTTCTTTTGGCTCAGTCGCAAAAATCGGTAATAAACTTTTAAGGATTAACGACAGATGGAAATTATCATTAACAAGAACATTTTTGCTATAAGGAAGGTATAAAGGGTACCTTAGTGAACCATGCTCTTCCTTGGAATAGAGAGTCACTTGAACAAAGAGAATAGAATATATATTAGAGAGGAATTTACTAGAAAAAAGTGTAAAACGGCCATTTTGTTGTACTGTTTCCATATTCCAGGTGTACTTCACATATTTATGCTATATAACCTTTTGGGCCCTGAAATATAATTTTATAGAAAATCTAAAATTTATATTAAAAGAAAACCAAATTATGAAATAGGCTGGTTTCATAATTGACCAATGATCATTTTACATAGACTCTATGCCTTTCACTTTACAAACGATGATTTTCTGTTATAACTATAAATAAAATGATGTTTATTATTCACCTAATTCATTTTATAAAGTTTATTTAACAGCTTTAAAAAATTCGAAACTGAACTGGATAGTCTAGGGAACATACTGTATTTATGTACTCTACTGCATATCATTTGTGAACATTTACATGATTTGTACACTTTGAACTCCTTTTCAGGCTGAAAGGGACTGAAAAAACTCATACCGAGGGATAATCTAAATTCCACTCTAATATATATATATTCTATTCTCTTTGCATTTGAAATTACTTTAAGGAGTACATACAAGAGTTGAAAGAGCACATATATCTAGGAATTGGGTTGAAAGAGCATATATATCTAGAAAGCATTGAAAGAGTGCAGATATCTAGGAAGAGTTGAAAGAGTACATTTATCTAGAAAGAATTGAAAGATTAAATATATCTAGAAAGAGTTGAAAGAGTACAGATATCTAGAAAGAATTGAAAGAGTACAGATATCTAGGAAGGGTTGAAAGAGTACAAACATCTAGGAAGGGTTGAAAGAGCACATATATCTAGGAAGATTTGAAAGAGTGTATATATCTAGGAAGGGTTGAAAGAGTACATATATCTGGGAAGGGTTGAAAGAGTACATATATCTAGGAAGGGTTGAAAGAGTACATATATCTAGGAAGGATTGAAAGAGTACATATATCTGGGAAGATTAAGAAAGAGTACATATATCTAGGAAGGGTTGAAAGAGTATGTAATGGATCTATGGAACCTGGCAGACTGGTTGACGAATTTCTGTTTTATTAACTGGATTGTGCTCAGGTTAATATGATAATTATGATAATGCTAACATTAAAAGTTTTGTACGGAAAAACATGATTCTGATAATAGAAAAAACAATAATGACGGGGGTTAAAATGATATTAATAATAATAATGATAATAATAATAATAAAAGTAATTATAATACATGATAATTTTATTGATAATAAGAATAGAATAACAAACTTGATGGTAGTTATTTTGCCTAGGCTGACATCCTGCTATCTTGTAAGCCTTGAGATTGAGGCTGGAGCTGATCCTTACATTCCTAGGAACTTATTCATACTAGATACTAGGACGCCCGGGTTCTACACTAGATAAAAGGATGGGTTTAATTATATACTAGATAATAGGAAGGGTTCAATTCTATACTAGATAGTAGGACGGGTTTAATTCTATACTAAATACTAGGACGGGTTCAATTCTATACAACACAGATACTCTGGACGGGTTCAATTCTATACTAGATACACTAGGACGGGTTCAATTCAATACTAGATACTCTAGGACGGGTTCAATTCTATACTCAATACAATAGAACGGGTTCTTTCCAATACTAGATACACTAGGAGAGGTTCAATTCTATTCTCGATCCTCTAGGACGGGTTCAATTTTATACCACATACTATAGGCCGGACGGGTTCAATTCAATACTGGATACTAGAAAGGGTACGGGTTCCATTATAATCTATCCTAGATACACTAGGACGGGTTCAATTCTATACTAGATACATTAGGACGTATTCAATTTTATACTAGATCCACTAGGAAGGGTTCAATTCTAAACTAGATACACTAGGACGGGTTCAATTCTATACTAGATACAATAGGACGGGTTCAATTCTATACTAGATACGCTAGGACGGTTTCAATTCTATACTAGATACATTAGGTCGGGTTTAATTCTATACTAGATACATTAGGACGGTTCAATTCTATACTAGCTACACTCAATCCTAATTAAGATACTTCGGCACAGGTTCAATTTTCTATTGAATATTCCAAAAATCCTCACAATGGGTAAGAACATTTTTTTAATAGAAAACTTTTTTTTTCTCATTTCATTGCTATAGTTTTCTATTGATCAATAGTGGGTGCTGGGAGGGTTTAGGATATAAAAATAAATCAAGAAATAATATCAAAAGTATACTCCGTCTTTAAATTATGAATGAGTGTATGTTGCAGGGAGCAATGGCATACTTACGATCCCTACTTGATATCCGAGGAAAGTAGTTGCATATCCATTATTCATATTTTTCAATATTTTTTGCAAAAGTATTAATTTTTTAAATAATCTGATTTATATACACAAGCTAGGCTTACAAAGCGCCACGCCTCCTTCTTTCTTGTAAAATCCAAAGATTTTTATTCTTGATATTTCTCTTTCAGTACATTTCAAAATAATGTATTAGAATTTTATCATTTTTACTGGTGGGTTTCCAACAAATTTGGATCAAAATTAAATTAAATCAGACGTCCTATTAACACATTTCAATCCCAAAGTGTTCTTACAAAGTCAGAACTGAAATAACCTTTAAGAGGCTAGGTCATTCATTTCCGACAGGCTCTTCTTCTGCTGTTCTGTGACGACGTACAATTTGTTTTTGGCCCAGTTGTTTCAGCCGTTTTGACGAGATTGAATTCAAGCATGCCGACAGACAGACGAACACTTTTTTAATAACTTTCCTAAAAGAGTAAAGACCTTTTTTTACAATCTCTTTCAAAAAGTGAAATATATAGATTCATTTTTGTTTGTTTGTCTCCTGTCTAATGTATATTTACAAAGTGAAATGAAGAAATTGTTTTCTAGAAAAGTGTCTAAATGGTATAAAGTTAGTGTGTTAAGAATTAAGTTTCTTACAATCATTAAATATACAAGTAAAGAGCACTTCCACTCTCATTCATCACTGCTCTACGATTTTCACTTAAACTCAAGATTTGGAGGGATTGCGGTGCTGTTAATATATTTTGATTGAAGGAAAGCGAACACAAAATCTAATTTTAAAATCCTTATATCTGGTGATAACCTCAGATATTTCAAACTATAAATTCTTCCAGAGATTGGAACTTTTGTGCGGAGTATCGTTCATTTTCAACACTTGATCTCGTTATCCAATGTGAGCACTTTTAAATTTAAGGATCCATGATTGATCAACAAATCAAAGTTATCCATGCAGGGCATGACCAACATGGGATAATGAAGAGGAATTTAAAAATCTGTAATTCTGCATAAGATGGAGTTCAAGACGTGATCCCAATACTTAAATAGTCAAATAGTCAACAGCTTTAAAAAAGGAATTTGAAAGTTTAACTTTTTTTTAACCTAACTTTTTGGCAAGCGTTTAGTACTCTTGCTTGTCGTTTTAAATCAGTAAAAACATAAATGATTTTGGTGAGCCAAAAAAACCTAGGGCCATTTCAGAACCCACATACAAATTGGCCACAATCCGTTTTAGATTAATCTTTTGGGTTCAGACACTCCAAGAATTATCCAAACCCAGAAATGTGAGTAAAAAATCTCCCGTTGAAGCATTTGGTCACCTTGAGAAACATATTTTTTACTTTCTGAATTAAATTTATTTTTATTTATTTGGTATAAAGAACTCCCAAGAGTGTCGAATCTCTAAATAATTAACAATGTTTTTGAGAATAGTCAGGAAGTGAGTTGGTTGTAAATATTTGAAGAAGGGGACAATTCGAGCTCTGTTAGAAATAAACAGAAGTTAATGATCCAACTTGAAAGATTAATTCTAGTGAACAGCCAAGAAACAGGATTAAAAGAGAAAGGGACTTCTAATAATTAAAAAAAACAAGAAAATTTTTAAAACGAAAAAAGGCGAGATATATAAATTTAATAAGGCTCAAATACTTCCACAACCTAGATGTTGTTTGTTGACATTTACCCTTACCCCCCCCCCCTCCCTCCCGCATTTTTTCATTGTTATGTATTTTTTAACCTTAATAAATTTTCAATGAATTATGTCTAACAATTTGTAATCATTTTGAGACTATAAATTAATCTATATAGTAAAAAAAAACATTCTTATATATATGTTGCGTATAGCCGGCCGAACGGCTGGACCGATTGGGATTAAATTTTGTGTGGACACTCATGGGTGGCCGGGGGGTGTTATAGGCTAAAAAAAATTGAATTTTTTTTCTTCAAAATTTTATTTTTTTCAGCATTTTTTTTCCACGGGCAACGCCGGGCCTTTCAGCTAGTATAAGATAAATCAGAGTACAGAATCATACAATGATCACCATAAAACTATGGAATCGCTACAAGACATGAAGGAAATTTTATATATATTTTACGTAAATAGTTTCACTTATTAAGTGAAATGGGGTTGTGTACAGTGTACACTGTGTTTGATGTTTATTAGACTAATTAAAATCAAATATTTCGTTTAAAAGTCTTCGAAGTATTCCACAGTTTTATAGGGACTACTGTATGAAGGATAAATTAGGGCTGGGCACGTTCCGACTTTTTTGAAATCGTTCCGTTCCGTTCTAGAACGAGGGCCTTCAGCTAAATCGTTCCGTTCTCGATCATCTTTTTTTATCGTTCCGTTCTCGTTCCGTTCCGTCCCGTTCCGTTCCGTTCTGAGTAGAAGAACGGTCTTCCCGTTCCGTTCCGTTCTTGGCGTTCTTAGTCGAAGAACGGTTGCATCCCTCTTGTTCTGTTCTTAATTAAGAACGTTTCCATCCCCCGTTCCGTTCTTAGTAACGGACAATTACATCAAAGACAAATGTTTTATAGTTTTAACCGTTCTTTTCAAGCAATTCCCGTTCCGTTCTTTTACTAATCGTTCCAATATTTTTAAGAACGCGTTCTAAGCGTTCGTTTTTTTTCGGAACGATGGGATCGTTCTTGATCGTTCCGTTCGTTCTCGGCAAAGAACGATCGTTCCACCGTTAACGCGCCCAGTCCTAGGATAAATGCAACTAAACGTCTCCAGGGACTGTTTGGAGCTGGGATGATTTCTAGTTACCTGAAGTTGGTTCATATTCTCTCCGTGAATCCATATATGGGACCTCTACAGATATCTCTGGGTAGAATGCTGGGAGATATTCTCAAGTTCATTCTTTTATTCTGTTTAGGTGAGACTTATTCAGAGACAAAAAGAGACTTTTCAAAGTTTTAAAATTAAAACATAATTTGGATAAATGAAGGGCCGGATTAAACAGTGTTACCAACAAAAAACGAGATATCTTAGATGACTGTACGGAATTCATAACGTCTGTTAAAGGAATTGAGTCTTTGCCACAGACTCTGCTTTTATAAACCCTATATCTTTGGGTTCCAATGTCGTAGATCTTAGATATTTCGAACTATGAATTCTGTTAGATCAAATAATATAAGTTTGAAATATCAAAGATTTACAACATTGGGTTCCAAAGATATAGGGATTATAAATTCTGAGTTTATGGCAAAGACTCAATTTCTTTATGATTCTCAGCAACTGTAAACTTGTTTCTTTCTTTGTAAAACCATTAAAAAGAACATAAAGGCTATCTTGAAGGGTGAAGACTTAGTTTAACCTTGGAATCTTCATATTTAAAGAGTTTCCGGTCGTCTTTACAGACTAATCATTTGTGTGTAACCCTGTATGTGAACAGTTCTATGCATTATAAAACTAGAACGAAAATTTATTTTAAAAATATATATTTTAAACTATAAATTCTGTTAGATCAAAAAGTCTAATATCAACGGTTTGCACCATCAGGTTGTAAAGAAACAGCGCTTAGAAAATTTAATTTTTCAAAAGCTTAGTTCCATTCACATAAACCACCTTTCATAATCAAAATCATATTTCAAAATGCTTTGCAACATCTTCCTTCTAACTAATCAAATATTAAATTCTTTTTAGCTAGGATCACCGAATGAAAAAATTTCTCGAAATAATTTTTAGATTAGACATTTCTGTTAAGATTGTATTAAGAAAAAATTGATTATTTTGCTATTATTGTTTTTAATTTGCTGTAAAAATAAATGATGTTAAGAATTCTTTTTATGCATAAAAAATGTGTATTTGGAGTACAGATTTCTTTCTTAATTAATTCACCATGTGATACCAAAACGAAATTGGAAAAAAGAACATTTTTCTTCAGTTTGCTTTGCCTTCGCGTGTGGAATAAACCAACTTCTGTGGTACTACGCGGTCCTAGAGAAAAGGTACTTTTTCTTTATTAAAAGACTGAAGATTTTTACCCGGCGTTGTGTAACGCAATCTCCCCTTAATGTCCTTACATTTTCAACACAATATTAGACATCTAAAGCAATGTTAAATCACTTTTTATTTGAAAAACATGTTAAAAGTATTATCGTAAATATTTTTTTGCCTTTCCCTAACATATTTTAGAAATAAATGCACATTTACAGGGGCGGATATAAGGATTCTGTAGGGGGGGGTAAAAAATTTTAATTTGGCGCGCGAAGCGCGCCGGAATTTTTTTTACCCCCCCCTAGAAATTTTTTTACCCCCCCCTAGAAAAATATCATGATGTATATCAAAATATTGGTTTTAATTGGGTTTGATTTGCATTTTCCACTCATTTCTGGGATTTACAAACTCAATCTAATAAAGGCTTCATTACATACCTTTCAGCTT